TAAACTCTTGAAATAATTGAGAATTAAGTTCTTAAACTCTTAGAGACAAAATGAATTAAGCTTTCAAACTCCTGACTGCATCAAACTTTTGAAGGTCAAAAGAAATAATTAATTACACTTGAGTCTCATGCTCCAATGATTCAATAATTTTACATTTATTATAAAATGTATCTTTTAATTTTAAAATTGAGGTTTAAATCCTTCTTTGAGACTCAAATGATTCAATAATTTTACATTTATTATAAAATGTATCTTTTAATTTTAAAATTGAGGTTTAAATCCTTCTTTCAAATTGTAAATCGTTTTAAAAAAATTAATTTTCGTTGCTTATTTTCAAAAATAATAATAATAATTAAGTTCTTCTAAGCTCTCTAAGTTTTAGGAATAAAAAGAACTAAGCTTTTAAACTCTCAAACTTCATAAATAGTAAGAATTGAGCCTTTAGTTAAGCTCCCAAGATAATACTAATAATGGAGCTATCAATTTAAAATTTTGATATTAATGGAGCCTCTTCTTATGTCCGAACTCCACACAATGCCAATCATTATTCAAATCACATTAGAAGTAAAATTTTCACTCATAAAATTAAAATTTTGATAAAAAAAATTAAAAATTAACTTTTTAGAATAACTTTTTAAGTTTTATCAAAAGTTATTAAAAGTCACATTAGAAGTTAATTTTTAAATTTTTTTAATAAAAATTTAAACTTATAAAAAAATTTACTTTGATAATAATTGTTTTTTAAGTTCTATTAAAAATTTTAAAAATTTTAAATTCAAATCCTTTGAGTGAGAGGGGTTTGGAGAGGAAAGAATTATCCATCAACTAAAAAGAAGAGGAAAAAAAAAAACCCTCTGCATTTTTTTAAGTAATATAATTAAAGGATGAAAAATGAGATTACAATACTTGAATCTTAAACTTCTAAACACTACCACACTTCTGTAATTGCATCAAATCAGAAGTCCTTCTCTAGTCCACGCTTGCACTCCGGGATGACCTGCAAAGCCCCGAGGTGGAACTCGGGGTAGACACTCCGATGCTTAAGTCAGCAATAATCGGGGCTACCTTTAGGGCGAAGATAAAAAGAGCTTAGGGTTGGTTTCAATTACCTTTTTTACGTGGCCCGGAGGGGTATTTATAGGATCCAATGAGGAACTAACGTGGCATGCCAAGCAAGATAATCGGAGCCTGACGTGTTCATCAAGACGATTATTTCGGGACCGGAAATTTGAGAGGTATTCATATATACGGATGTCTACCATACTTGCTGTGCCGCTCATCATAAGGAATCAGGTGCGGGCATGCTTATTGTCATTGTCATGCAGCTATTTGAGCGAGAAGCTTTGGATTTATTCCTCACTTCGGTCATAAAGGAATTACTATAACAGTCCGAGGCTTGGCACCTCGGCCCTGTCCTTACACTATTCCCCCCCGAAGTCATTCACTTGTGAATGATGTTGCTGGGGATAATGGGAGGAGTGTATGAACAAAGAGAATATTGATAAGTTATAGAAATATAAGGGAGAAAGCTGTAACTTAAATTTAAACATAGCCGTAGCTAAAAATGAAAGATGTAACAATGGGTCATATTGGGGTGCCTTAAATAAAGTATAATCGGAGTGACCATGGCCGTAGTCATGGTAAAAATAATGACCGGAGTCATAATGTAGTCAAGGTCATGATAAAAAATGATGACCGGAGTCATAATGGCCGGGGCCGTCATAAAATATGATGACCGGAGTCATAAGGGCCGGAGCCGTGATGAAATGTGACAACCGTAGTCATAAGGGCCGGAGCCGTAATAAAATATGATGACCGGAGTCATAAGGGCCGGAGCTGTAATAAAATATGATGACCGGAGTCATAATGGCCGGAGCCGAGGTAGAGTATGTGACGTGGTCACAATAACCAGGACCGAAGTAAAACATGTGTTCTCTGTGGCCGGAGCCGAAG